GGAAGACATGAAGACATGACATAGAGATAGGGCATTTTGTTGTTAAGGCCTTCAATTTGTTTAAAAGATTTTTATTATTAGCTTAAAATAAATGGGCTTGAGGATGCTTAGCCCACATATGTCTTATTAATTTATTTAAACTGTCACTTCCCATCCTGGTCTCCCAAGGATGAGGTGCAACGAGATTTTTAATACACCTGTTTACAATTATTATAATCTGGATTAATCAAACATGAAATAATCCCACAGGTGCAACAACACCACTCATCACCTTAGTAATTAAGCATGATGGTAAAACTTGTCTCATAACATGTACCATATATAAAACACCTACGTCAATCATTTGTTTCCTCGGTTATAGACATATACAAAATCCCACACCCACATAGCATACATAACAAAGTATGCCTGCTAAGTCTACTTACAAATATATACGATTTATCTGCCATAATAATCTCTCATAAATATAATACACAACCCAGAAATTAGTCATACTGACACTCTACCTGAATAATATCACACTAACGTTGTACAAGACTCAAACAACTGGATAGTGGACCAGTCTGTATCTTCCTTTACAGTACCTAAAAAAAAGAACTATAGGGGTGTGAGCTAAACCACACGCTCAGTGCCTATACATGTTGTATATGAAATGGAAATGATAGTAATACACTAAAATAAGTAGATACACGTATCAAACAACAATATCAATTCAATTCCAAAGAATTCACAAGCCACATTACATCCATACTATCCCTCATTAGGTAATCGATCCCACATTGATTTGTGTCTCCCAAACCACCCGAGAACACCACAGTGCTAGCACACCACTACACGCCTAGTGATCAGGCATCGATGCCCTTTGTCTCAAACAGTGCGCCACATTCCCCAATACACAATACATAGTACAAAACATCATGCAATCACATAGACAAGTAGCACATAATCTTGGAGAAAAGCTATTAAATTCTATCATTTACTATTATCTTATAATAGCATTTTCAAAACATATAAAGATATACACTCACCATATCTGTGGATCCTTTCGGTGTCACCATATTTGTTCCAATGTTGACTGTCTCACTCGTTCCACCTAACACATTTGTAATTCCAATATCAATATGTTTATTACATTTAATAGTTAATCATGTGCTAATGCATGCAAATGATGCACCTCAATGTGCCCCGATAACCCCGGTCACCGCACTATCTACTCACACATTAGCACTTTTGTTCTAGGGATCACATTTTCTCTCCAAATTCCCAAAATCACTCACCTTAATCACAATTAGGATTAAGTAGGTCAAACACATTGACTAGGGGTCCGTTTCTACACATTTCGATCCCCGAATCCTAAAAATTACACTTTCGACATTTCATACATTTTGCATCGAATATTATACTCATTTGCATTCGAAAGTCACATTATCACATCAAGTATCATTTAAAAATGTTGCATGCAAAATTTCAGGTCATTTGGATTAAAATTCACACATGTGGTAATAACATTTAGAAATAAGAGTTTCGGCATTACCAACACCTTTTCCCAACGTCTATCACATTTTTTTTCTTTTAAAATAGCCACACTTAACTCACACACACATATAAGCATGCAAAGAATCCCCTTAGTTAAACCCTTAAACCTCCCATTCCAATTATTTTTCAATAAACCATCAAATGCAAAATGTTACAATCACTTCGCTACTTTCACTTAACTTTAAATTAACACAAGTATTTTGTGGGAGGTAACTAGGTGCTCTACTTTATGCGTTTCAAAAACTAGTATCTGAAAACAGTTTTTGAGAAGAGTTTTAAGAAAGTGGTTTTGATATTTTTGGAGATAAAAAACTTGTTTGGTTAGATGATTTCAAAAATAAATTTACAATACAGAAAATAGTAAAACCTGTTTGGACAGCCTAAATATATATTTGAACAGTAATTCAAACATTAATAAAAAAATAAAAAAAAATTATTTTTATATTAACAATTTCATAATATATATATATATGTAAATATTATAATATATTATATATCAATATTATATTATATTATAATATGTATATATATACAATATATATAAAATTTTGCGACGTTTTTTTTTCGTCGTGTGTTCTTCGCAATAGCCTCGTCGCAAAAAGTATTTTGCAACATAATTTTATTTTCATCAGGAAAAAAACCTTTTTGCGACGTTTTATTTTTGTCGCCAATAATAAACAAACGTTGCTACAAACTATTCTAGCAACATAAAAAAATTTTAAAAAAATAATTTAATTAATTTTTCACGACATAAAAAAATCGCAAATATATTTTTCATAAATAAAAAATTTTAAAAAATAATTAAATTAATATTTCACGACGTACAAAAATCATCACCAATAAATTTTTATATAAATAAAAAATTTTAAAAATAACAATTAAATTAATCTTTCGCGACATAATAAAATCGTCGCAAATATATTTTTTAGAAATAAAAAATTTAAAAATAATAATTTATTTTATTTTTAACGACGTAAAAAAAGCGTCGCCAATAAATTTTTTATAAATAAAAATTTTTAAAAATAATAATTAAATTAATTTTTCGCGATGTAAAAAAATTGTCGCAAATATATTTTCATAAATAGAAATTTTTAAAAATAATAATTAAATTAATTTTTCGCGACGTAAAAAAATTGTAGCAAATATATTTTCATAAATAGAAAATTTTAAAAATAATAATTAAATTAATTTTTCGCGACGTAAAAAAATTGTCGTAAATATATTTTCATAAATAAAAAATTTTAAAAATAATAATTAAATTAATTTTTTGTGACGTAAAAAAATCGTCGCAAATATATTTTTCATAAATAAAATTTTTTTAAAATAATAATTTAATTAATTTTTAGCGACATAAAAAATCGTTGCAAATATATTTTTACATCAATAAAAAATTTAAAAATAATTATTTAATTAATTTTTAACGGCGTAAAAAAATCGTCACAAATAATTTTTAAAATAAATAAAAAATATAAAAATTAATTAATGAAATTGGACTATGGATGCATACACATCTGCATTTGAGCTAGGAAATAGGAGTTGGAAAAAAATTGATTTTATTCATATTGACTTATAATCACACCATTCAACTATTTAATAAGACTAAGAAAAGGAAAAAAATTTTGATAAAAGAAACAATTACAAGAATAAAGGAACAAATTTGTTTGAAAGAATACAAGAAATGACTTTAATCCTTCAAGATGATTAAAACCATTTTTAACTACTTTACTGCATCTTCTGATCTTCACATTCAGCTCCTAGAATCTGTCCAGCTACTGAGCATGTTGTTCAGTACCTTTGAACCAGACAGATTCTGGCAGACACTTTGTAGCCTTCAAAATGCACAGGCAGCAAACATCTCCAATGCACAACATCACCCTGGGCATCATCCCAGCAACTATCCTCAAACCCTGCACAGCTGTGTAGAAGAAACGCAGTAAATACAACCCCATTAAACTTCCTACTCCATTCAATAAACCTCTTGAACTGATTCTGCTAAAACACATCCAACTGCAAGCAGGTACCCCACAAACAGAAACCAAAGGTCATTACAAAGGCAAGGTACCCTTAATAACAACCTTTCTATTGCACTAGGCCTGAACACCTTAGCCTGCATTCTCAAAACCTCACAAACTCTTACAAAAATAACGCCAGTAGATAAACAACCCTCATCATAAAACTCTCCTACATGATCAATAGGTGCATGCATACAAATTGTTTNACGCCAGTAGATAAACAACCCTCATCATAAAACTCTCCTACATGATCAATAGGTGCATGCATACAAATTGTTTGTGTTTTGCAAATAACAACTACAAGAAATAATAAAAAGCAAGCTGGTCTGTAAGCTGATTGAATTGCTAGGACTAATGAATTCAGTAAGAATACTGTAGGGGGAGGGATTTAAATATAAGACAATGTTGAAGTGGCATGATTTAGAAAATAATGACTCAAAACCAGAAAGGTATGCTGAATATTTAGCATCAAATAGTGCATACCTCACCATGACGCCCTTTGGAACAATTTCCTCCATTTTACTGTGACACATGTTGTATAGCTCAACAAGTTCTTTCTGTACAAATATAACAAATTGATTCATGACTTCATGATTTGAATCCAAAGTTTGGCATGGCCATAGACAGCTGAACTAAACTGTGCACATATATTTATGGTGAATACTAGGACTCCTTAAAAATTATTGTAACACATGCAGCAACATTGTTCATTCATTTAACATATAAATCATTTGTGTCAAGGATTCATCAGATTGAGGTTTAATTTTCATTGGCCAGAAAAGTGACCTAGTTTCTTCATAGGGGAGTCAAGCCCCCTAACTAATCGATGTACAGGTTAGGCAAGAGTAATTCCACTAAACATTTCTCTAAGCACAAGGATTGCATCCCTGGTATTTAAAACCTCAGAAAAAGGATTCACTAATAAAGAGCAAGCAGCTATAAACATGTAAATTATAAATTTACTAAACATATTTGAAGACTTTTGAGCTATATGGACACCTAAAAGACTTGCAATNATTTAAAACCTCAGAAAAAGGATTCACTAATAAAGAGCAAGCAGCTATAAACATGTAAATTATAAGTTTACTAAACATATTTGAAGACTTTTGAGCTATATGGACACTTAAAAGACTTGCAATAATGTAGAAGATGTGCAATCTGGAACTCTAACTTTCATTCTTGCTATGCACTCCATTTGCTTACGTTATGGTGCAATTATATTCTAATCAATTAAGAATCAAGTACACTTCAAACAAAAGTTTGATATGCATACTGTCTCTTTGCCAAGAAAAGATTATAACTAATTGTGTGCACACTTGGTGGAAAAGGCACTTACATAGCCATGAGTTGCCAATGTGTATGCATTCCAAACCCAGATTTAAGGGAAGCCTTCCTCATGCAATTAAATAATTGAAAAATGCACAAAAGTAGCACCTCATTTGAACTGACTGATTAATCTAACAAAGATGAAGTGCTTTCTATAGCAACTTTTTGAACATCCATTCCATAAACACGACCTCTCTTTGACTGATCAGCAACCATTTTGAGCATTACCAAGGTGTCATACGCATTTCCACAAGTGGCATTAACAACCGCATCCCCTTTCCGGACAACATGTTTCCACACCCTGTTAAAGGAAATAAACACATTAAAAAAAGGCATCATTTTAAGTGATACTTTGAACTACTTTTATACAAAATATGACTACAAACCTGTTTTAAAGATTAGTAAAATTGATTAATTGAGCAATTATAGAAACAAAAATTTTCCTAAAGGAGGCAGAGGCCCACAAGTCACAACCTTGGGGCATAAATTGTATTGCCAAAAGCCTCAAAAAAGGCTTCAAAAATTTGATAGTATATTTGTATGAAGAATAATCAAAATCCAAGGAACATAGCATATGTAAATTCATTTTTCAAATCCGCATGTTTGGCCTATCAGTAATACAAGCTATGCTGCACTACCAATTCTCATGACAATGAGTGAAGTTGATTAATATGGGAGTTTTACTTTTCAACTAACTGCACCAATAGTGAGCAAACACAAAGCTATTGAAATCATTGGAATAAATCAAAAAGATTGAAAGAGCATAAAAGCAGGGTGAAAAAGATGATTCATATTTTTTCACAATAACTATTACATGCATGCCCATGTTCCATATAATCAAGATTTGNAAACACAAAGCTATTGAAATCATTGGAATAAATCAAAAAGATTGAAAGAGCATGAAAGCAGGGTGAAAAAGATGATTAATATTTTTTCACAATAACTATTACATGCATGCCCATGTTCCATATAATCAAGATTTGAACCCTACACGTACTACTTTGCCAGCAACGGGAGATACCACTCAAGTTAATAACAGATGATCCCTTGATAGCTTTTTCAACTTTGCCAAAATAGAGTTTTAAAAAGATGGTAGACATATTAATGCAGACAAGAAAAGCCCAAAAAAAATAAAAAAACAAACAAACAAACGAGTGTGGCAAATTTCTAAACAAAACATCACCAAAATTGATGAATCAAGACAATGTGTTCCAATCTTTCCTTGTGTAGGCATTTAATTTTGTAGTTCATGCAAGCTCATAGATGCAAACTAAGAAACTTAAAACTCTACCACCAAAATTCATGAAACAAGACAATGTGTTCCAATCTTTCCTTGTGTATAATTTCTTAGTTCATACAAGCTCATAGATAAGAACTAACAAACTTAAAACTTTACTAGATTTAGCATGTGCTTTTGGTAATATCGGTGTTTGTTAGGATACAGAATATGACAGTATAAATGCATGAATGGAAGGATTGGCTGGATTGGAAATACCTTTTGCATCAGTGCAACCACCAACTCAGGGTTCTCTGGTATTCCATGTTCTAGAAAGGCCTGAAGCATTGTGTATATAGTTAGTGGCTCTTTCTTTTATACCAAACACACGGCAAACATGGCATAGGATTTAAAGTGAATGCACCAACCAATCCAACCACTCCCGATATATGGAGGACTATCCAAAATATATCTTAAATAGTTTATTGAAATATGTTCATAGAATGATTTCACATACATTCATCATGCACGAATTGTAAGTGTTGATCCAAAAAGCAAGCTTCTCTTGATGGTTAAGGCCATGTAAGTCAACCAATGCAAGTTTCCCAAGTAGCAGTCGGAGAAAACAAGAGACACTATATTTAAGCCCAAGCAGATATGAGACATATGAATTCAAATTCTGAGCAAAGGCTCGTAATTTCCGATACCCCTAGCAATGCAACACTATGCACCAATTATCCTTTCTAGACAACACATATTAAGATACAAAGAAGACTGCTGTGATGTCCGAATTTTCAGAAGTNTCATGTAAGTCAACCAATGCAAGTTTCCCAAGTAGCAGTCGGAGAAAACAAGAAACACTATATTTAAGCCCAAGCAGATATGAGACATATGAATTCAAATTCTGAGCAAAGGCTCGTAATTTCCGATACCCCTAGCAATGCAACACTATGCACCAATTATCCTTTCTAGACAACACATATTAAGATACAAAGAAGACTGCTGTGATGTCCGAATTTTCAGAAGTAACTATACAAAATATAGGACATTTTTCATGGTCAACAAACTGTTCATGCTCAGTTTCAAGAGAAAATTCTTGACCAGGTGAGCTATCAATAGTGTCCAGATCTACAGGCTGGACACTATGCCATAACTGTGTCATAGTGGGTGTTTCCTTGCAAGCACGTGACATAACTTTATTTGGACAATTAAACACATGAATTAAATTCCTAAAATTTATGGGTAACACTGAACATGCACATAAATTTGTTGATGAAAAGAAAATTCAGGAAACTTAACTTAGTGATCCATTGATAGCCAAGCAAGGACAAGACTCATTTTAAATAGTTTGATCATTTGCAAACAAAGACCAATTNACAAGCTGGACACTATGCCATAACTGTGTCATAGTGGGTGTTTCCTTGCAAGCACGTGACATAACTTTATTTGGACAATTAAACACATGAATTAAATTCCTAAAATTTATGGGTAACACTGAACATGCACATAAATTTGTTGATGAAAAGAAAATTCAGGAAACTTAACTTAGTGATCCATTGATAGCCAAGCAAGGACAAGACTCATTTTAAATAGTTTGATCATTTGCAAACAAAGACCAATTTCTTCTGAAGTAGGAAATAATAATGTCCCTTTGTGCAAAATGAAGCCACTATACTCCTTATCAGGATCCTAGCATCAAATAACTTCAAACAGGTGATCATGTAAACATTCGTATGAGCCATGAGCACATATCAACATAATAAATGGTACCTTGAATGCAGGTGCACAAGATATATTTGACATGGTTATTAGAATTGAGCCTTTTGCACCCATTTTAACAATCACCCATTTTGTGCGGACCCTTTTCCTGAGCAACTCCTGGGCTGCCAGTATTGGATTTCCTATTCCAGTCAATGATTCATCCTGACAAGCCATCAACATAAGCTATATTACTAGGATGAAAAGTGAAAATTATACTAGAATGGATGATGCATCATATAAATAACATTAGATACAACAAAAGTTGCCCACACTGCCTTATGGATAGAATTGATGATGTCGGATGTTGGTTTCATTTATTAACGAATCTAATTTACTCTTTCCAGATTCCTTCAAAGGACTGGAAAATAAATATAGACAGGCCGATCCACAGTGAAGCCTTAGACATGAGTACAGATAGTTCATTTAGAGAATTGTATAGTCTTTATACCTCAAAACAATTAATGTTATAGGTGGTGTGGACCGAACAAATTCAGTGAACTTACACACTTTCAATGATCAAATATATTAGGTACCTATTAGCCAGCGTAAAAAATAATTAGAAGTTCATGCAGCTTAAAACAACCACATCATGTTTCAACTAACCAACCTACCTGAAGCTTATAACATTACAAGTTTACCACCTTCAAAACTACCAAACTCTTCCCAAAAGCACAGTAAGCTCTGGGAACATGGTAAAATACTATAAAACAAAATCAAAAGCTCTCCTGTCCAAGTCTAACTAGAGGGTACAGATTGCATAAATCTATCAATTAGTTCAGGCCAACTTCAGAATTTACACTTCCTACAAAAAATGAGATGGAAACAAAATCTGTAATCCCGACCAGTTGTGGCATTAATTGATTCAATATGGTGATGGTTTATTCATCTTTGCAGCCGACACAATCTTCAAAAGATGCTGTGATTTGAGCAGAATAAATGGAGGATTGGTGCATAGACTGTTCAATTTGGTCAAACATACCAGTCAAATTGGAGGGAAATCAGTAAAAGGCTCGTAACAATATGATACAAAATAAGCAACTATCAAGAGTTAACATGTGCACAAAATGAGGTAACCAAACAAAATATTTATATAGAAGGGTGGCAACAAGCCAATTACAGCAAGGAAATAACCGTGTTGATAAAAGCTGAGTTAGAAGTGATGTCTAACCTAGTCATAATTATCGGTGGCTAAATCAATTTTCATAATCCATGGCAAATAATTGGGATAAGGCTTAGTTGAGTATATAATCCCCTCAAAAATAAGATACAATGATAGAAGGCTATGGTGAAGGAAAGAAAACGAATGTGCTCATACAGTTTATGAAGAGTTACAAGTCAAACCTCCTTAGACGTTAGTAGAAGAACATCACTCATCCTCAAGAACTTGTCAAGTGCTCTCTGTTCTTCTGGTGTTCCTGTCACTTGGGTCTTTCCTCGTGGTCCAGGATAAAAAAAAATGTTGTCCCATCTTCAACAGCATAATCCAGAGTAGAAATAATCAAACAAGGGGAGAGTTTATCAAAGCCATAACCATTGTAGAACAGGAGTTTTGATTGCTTAATTGCCATCTTTACTTCAATAGATAGCTTGCTCAGCCAACTGAATGCAGGCTGTTTACAAAAATTTGCTCGACTAATAAATAAGCAGAAGGTGTGATGCACCATCTTTTGCTAACAACAATTCATTCAGTTGGCAATTGGTTTCCCTATAAAATTTATATAAATTTAAAGAAGGAATAAACCTTTAATTGATTACTTATACCTGCAAAAACCATGTCTGTGAAAAGGGTCCACCAAAACCCAGCATAGAAATGTCTCCTATGCAGCACTTGAACTGTCAACATTGTCATTCAGGTCACTCATCCCAACCATACCAATTCCTTCATCATGAACAACATCTAAGAGGAAGTGGCACATACATTTCATCACCAGCATGACCAATTGCNACATAACCAATTGCAACACAATGAAGTCCCAGTCTTGCTGATGCTATGGCCATATTGCAGTTACCACCAGTTTCCCAGTATTGCTATGAGCAATAACAAATTATGTAAGTCCTAAACTGTGGAGAATAAGGCAAGAACATTGAAAAACAAACACATATATTCATCTACAAACATGTATGGACACGTGTGTGTTAATGTGTGTGTGTGAGAGAATAGTGTTCTGACTACGGGATACATGAGAACAGTGTTCTAACTACAGGATACAATAATNATGTTAGTTTCATTTATTAATGAATCTAATTTACTCTTTCCAAATTACTTCAAAGTACTGGAAGATAAATATAGACAGGTCGATCCACAGTGAAGCCTTAGACATGAGTATGGATAATTAATTTAGAGAACTATATAGTCTTTATACCTCAAAACAATTAATTTATAGGTGGTGTGGACTGAACAAATTCAGTGAACTTACACACTTTCAATGATCAAATATATTAGGTACTTATTAGCCAGCGTAAAAAATAATTAGAAGTTCATGCAGCTTAAAACAACCACATCATGTTTCAACTAACCAACCTACCTGAAGCTTATAACATTACAAGTTTACCACCTCCAAAACTACCAAACTCTTCCCAAAAGCACAATAAGCTCTGGGAACATGGTAAAATACTATAAAACAAAATCAAAAGCTCTCATGTCCAAGTCTAACTAGAGGGTACAGATTGCATAAATCTATCAATTAGTTCAGGCCAACTTCAGAATTTACACTTCCTACAAAAAATGAGATGGAAACAAAATCTGTAATCCCGACCAGTTGTGGCATTAATTGATTCAATATGGTGATGGTTTATTCATCTTTGCAGCCGACACAATCTTCAAAAGATGCTGTGATTTGAGCAGAATAAATGGAGGATTGGTGCATAGACTGTTCAATTTGTTCAAACATACCAGTCAAATTGGAAGGAAATCAGTAAAAGGCTCGTAACAATATGATACAAAATAAGCAACTATCAAGAGTTAACATGTGCACAAAATGAGGTAACCAAACAAAATATTTATATAGAGGGGTGGCAACAAGCCAATTATAGCAAGGAAATACCCGTGTTGATAAAAGCTGAGGTAGAAGTGATGTCTAACCTTGTCATAACTATCAAAAAGGAGCAATATGTTTCAAGTTAAAAGGAGATGCAAGGACAAAAGGAAAGCTATCAAGGATGCATGTTGAGGTAGTTAGGAATACATTAACGATGACTTTGACAGCAAAAATAGCCATGCACATTATCGGTGGCTAAATGGATNAGAATACATTAACGATGACTTTGACAGCAAAAATAGCCATGCACATTATCGATGGCTAAATCAATTTTCATAATCCATGGCAAATAATTGGGATAAGGCTTAGTTGAGTATATAATCCCCTCAAAAATAAGATACAATGATAGAAGGCTATGGTGAAGGAAAGAAAACGAATGTGCTCATACAGTTTATGAAGAGTTACAAGTCAAACCTCCTTAGACGTTAGTAGAAGAACATCACTCATCCTCAAGAACTTGTCAAGTGCTCTCTGTTCTTCTGGTGTTCCTGTCACTTGGGTCTTTCCTCGTGGTCCAGGATAAAAAAAAATGCTGTCCCATCTTCAACAGCATAATCCAGAGTAGAAATAATCAAACAAGGGGAGAGTTTATCAAAGCCATAACCATTGTAGAACAGGAGTTTTGATTGCTTAATTGCCATCTTTACTTCAATAGATAGCTTGCTCAGCCAACTGAATGCAGGCTGTTTACAAAAATTTGCTCGACTAATAAATAAGCAGAAGGTGTGATGCACCATCTTTTGCTAACAACAATTCATTCAGTTGGCAATTGGTTTCCCTATAAAATTTATATAAATTTAAAGAAGGAATAAACCTTTAATTGATTACTTATACCTGCAAAAACCATGTCTGTGAAAAGGGTCCACCAAAACCCAGCATAGAAGTGTCTCATATGCAGCACTTGAACTGTCAACATTGTCATTCAGGTCACTCATCCCAACCGTACCAATTCCTTCATCATGGAGAACATCTAAGAGGAAGCGGCCATACATTTCATCACCAACATGACCAATTGCAACACAATGAAGTCCCAGTCTTGCTGCTGCTATGGCCATATTGCAGTTACCACCAGCTTCCCAGTATTGCTGAGCAATAACAAATTATGTAAGTCCTAAACTGTGGTGAATAAGGGAAGAACATAGAAAAACAAACACAGATATTCATCTACAAACATGTATGGACACGTGTGTGTGTGTGTGAGAGAGAGAGAGAGAGAGAGCATATAACGTGACCAACAGTAGTGTGATGACGAAACACTTGTTTAGTTGAATATAAAATCAGCCTTTTGTCAACATCCACTCCAGAATGTCATAAATTTGAAATTTTTTTTTTTTTTTTTTTTTTTTTTGCTTGTGAAAAAAGGGTTTGCAAGGGCAACTGGGGTGGAACCCATGCCTGGGTATGACTATGGCAGCCTGAACTCACGAGGGAAGTCCACCAGTGGAACCTTGACGGTGGTAAACTGCAGGCACACCCAAAGTCTACCAAACAAAATCACTGATAGAGTTCCATCACATTGTCCAAGAACAGTGGTGGCAGCATCCTAACCACCAGACGGAAACCGCTGGCGCTCCCAAAGTCTACCAAACCAAATCACTGATAGAGTTCCATCAAACTGTCCAAGAACAGTAGTGACAGCATCCTAACCACCGTAAAGTGCAGCATCGAGAATGAACACAAGGTTCAACACTTGATTAAATCACTTCACACCAGACTTCCCAATGATCAAATTTGGCTGGTCACAGTAGTGTTGTTTAATTTTAGGTATCTGGTAGTGAAAGATTAATATTGAATATATAGTAACATTGCATATTAATGGATTAGGGTATGGGAGTTGGAAAGAAATCCGATCCAACTTGGTAAGTTTAACTCTTATCAAAGGGCTTTGATACTGTGATTGCCAGCAGTGGAGTTTCCAAATTATTACCCTTCCATCCATCCCAATTGTTACCATCATGGCAGAGCTTTCAGGATAACACTCTGTTTAACGCAAAAGACACTCAGGAACATAACTGCTTTAAACGGAAAATAAAGCATGCCCTAATGGTCTGAAAATTATGAAACTCAGAGGTCGAGCGAAGTGAGAAGAAACTGACCTTATCGGGCGGTGACTTGGACAATTCTTCCATATAAGCTAGCCGTTCCTGAAACGACTTGGGAGGCAACTTGGGGACATTGAGAACAATATCCACACAAAGGTTTCCGAGAGTCGCCACATCGACGTTCTTCATTGCGACGCAGCTTCTCAATCTCTCATCATCTACAGAACCATTATCGGCTAAGCTCAGTGAATTAAGGCAGCGTTTGGGAGCCGAGAATTCTACTCCCCTACAGTTGAAGATCGAAAAATGATTTCTCCGGCTGTATTGCAAAACATCGGGGAAAATGGTATGAAATAGTCTAGGGTTCTGGAGAACAATTTGATATGGAGAAAATCCATTGCTTCGAATTGGGGATTGGAGAGAGATTGTGAGATGATGCATTCAGAGATCGGAGAAGAAGATAGACAGACACAGACTGAATGAGTGAGAAGAAATGGAATTATAGGGAGGGAAATTGAAGAAGAATAGTATTTATTATATATATATATTTGATTGGAAAGCATGAAAAGAGAAAAATGGATGAAGGGAAATCAATTGAAGGTTCAAGTAGACACCCACCCACCCAACCACACACACAGAGGGCAACTTTCAGTCATTCCCCACCAGGAGCTAGTTGTGATTCTCATCATAATCTTAATGCATGTTTGTTTATATTAATTATTTCATGTTTAAGAATTATGTACAGTTTAAACCTTCAATTTTGTGTTTGATTATTCAATGTTCAAATTTTTTTAGTGCCTTCAAACACACATTATTCCTAATTAGTCTATAAAACATCACAAGTTCATTCTGATTCCAACCTATTACATCAACTACTATTCTTAGATTAGATTAAGGATCAATTTAGGTTTTNCACATTATTCCTAATTAGTCTATAAAACATCACAAGTTCATTCTGATTCCAACCTATTACATCAACTACTATTCTTAGATTAGATTAAGGATCAATTTAGGTTTTCTTTTTTTTTTTTAAATTCTTATTTTTAATTTTATTACATTGATTATTATAACACAATGGGCAAGACACCAACTTCCAATTTCACCACCAAAATCCAAGTGGTAAAGTAGTAAGGTCAACATCTGATCTAGACTAGGTATTGTATCTAAGACGTGTGTAATGTATAATAAAAATTTATAGTTTATATCATACAAAAAATAAAAAAACACAGTATAATAAATTTTATGTNGGTCAACATCTGATCTAGACTAGGTATTGTATCTAAGACGTGTGTAATGTATAATAAAAATTTATAGTTTATATCATACAAAAAATAAAAAAACACAGTATAATAAATTTTATGTCAATTCATCAACCAAACAAGTGTAACTGAATAGTTTGACCTAAATATTCATCTCAATTTCACAAGAGATAGATTATTGGGGGATGGAGCACCCATCCTTTTCGGGTAGATAGGTTTAAGTAAGAATAAGTTCCTCGTGTTGTTCTCAAAAACAACCCAATAAAATAAAATTCAGCTACTGTTTAGTTTGCATATTAAAAATTATTCTTCTATTTTCAGAAATAATTTAAAAAAAAATATATTTAAAGACTACTTCGTGTATTTTAAAAATAACCTTTCTAAAATTTACAGAACAACACCACCACCACACTCCCACCATTATCATATTTTTGCTTTCATTATTTTTCTTTTCAATTAAAACCCTTTCCTCAATCCTAGTGTAAATATATTAAGTATAATTTGCTTCTGTTTGTTTTGTTTAGTTTTTACCCTCTTTGTTTCCCTCACAGGAACATAATACAAAAGGTCAGCGCTAGTGAAATCTGTGTCGAATCATACGAGCTATAAAACAACAGGAGTTATGTTCATCACCACCATGTTATACTGAGAGTAGGATTCAACCTTTTAGGTTTAAAAGATGGCCAGAGTCCACAACCTCCCTGCCCCTTGTTTGGTCAGATCACCGGGTTTCAGCCCAGGTCAAAACATAACGCCGGCACCAAAATTGTACATCCTTCACAAATCCTCAACTAAAACCCGGATATCCATGCAGCACGAAATCCGCACCTGTCTTTCTCTGCGAAACAATGGAAGCACAGACAAACTGCAAAGCAAAACTGAGTACTCCGCCACAACCACAAATCATGGAACTGGAGCTATATCTAAAGCCAATTGCAGCATTCACAGAGTTATCTGTGGTCGGAGTTGTTGCTCTTTGGCCAATTCTTCAAGTCTGCGCACAACTTTTTGAGCGACATCAGTGTATGCTATTGAGACAGCACAATCAGGCTTTGATACCACTATAGGGACACCTTCATCAGAACCACTTCGGATCTCCCCCTCCAGTGGTATCTAAAAAAGTAAAACATGGAGTGATAGATCAGATCAATGTAACATCTATCTTTTCCCAACCTAAATGGGTAAGAAAATTATATTGGCAGACATGTATACAAATATAAAAATCACAAGAATAACAAAAACTTGGGCAGGTTTTGATGGAGGAACCGCTCATGAAACACTGTCACTTTCCAGTAGCCACTTGCAAAATGTGGAAGACAAATTGGACAGGTTTTTCATTCGGGTGTTTAAATTGTGTCATCCAATAATGATCTAGTTGAAGCTCACCACAATAAGTCAGCTAAAGATTTGAGAATATTGAGTTATGAGTCAGGCTGGGTTAGTCTCCAGGCATAAGCTCCCTTGCCTCGGATGAAGCCCACATTGATCTTGACCCAACTCACCTGAGTTGCATCCCTACTTGCATGCACGCACCCCCCTCCGGCCCCGACGAAGGTGGCATCTCAGGAGGACAAGAGAAGTGATCATATATTCCAGGTCAAAACATGGGAATCCCATTAGGTCTGTGATCAGCAATCATACTCCTCAATCTTGACAAGAGAAATACCTATTTCTCCAGCAGTTCCTCAAAAAGCTCAAACACAGCCAACACCATTACCATGACTAGCATCTTAATAGATTAAAATGGAAAGCATACCTCACCAATAAATGCCATGCCCATTTCCTCAGCTGTTCTACGAGCTCCTCCTTTTCCAAAAATAAACGAAGGCTCACTGCAGTGGGGACATCTAAAGTAGCTCATGTTCTCTATGACCCCCAAAATCTGTGGTACAACCAAAACTTCTCAGAAAATCATGACAAGCAGATTATATGTCATTTACCGAACATTAATTGATATATAATCACATATAGACATAAATAAGCTCAGGAATAATGATACCGGAACTTCAACTTTAGAAAACATTTTGATACCCCTTCGAGCATCCATTAACGCGACATCTTGAGGAGTTGAAACGATCAATGCACCTGTCACCCGATTGTAATTTACAATAAATAGCAAAAAAAATAATACTTTCCAATAAAAAAATCATCAAACAAAGTAACAGTTTCTGGGCAGTTGATGCACAATACTAGCAGTGAAACCATTGTTATTGTCTTCACTTTTTCATTTTGTAAGGCATATCATCATTCTCTCATAACAAAATGATATTCAGAATGCAAATATTAATCTAAGAAGAGAGAAGAAGGTCAAAAAGAGAAACTTGCACAGTCTAAAGCCTTTAATCAATTACTGTCCAAAGTTTCTCAAAGCCAATTAAGCAAATGAATTCCAACGCATTTCAATCTGCAAAGCCCACAACTTTCTTCAACCTTTTAAATCCNTCCACGAACCCATCTAGTGGAGCTTCCAAATGTGTCGGTTCCTCAATTCCCAAATCCTCCTCTAGTACATAATCTGAAAAATATAATTTGTAGGGGAGTGAACACTAAGCTTTGTAGCAACATTCCTCTCAAACTCGAATAAGGTTTAGAAAAACATATAAAAATAGTCGGTCACCTTTCACAAATAGCATATATGAATTTCAAAAGAAAACCGGGACATTTAAATAGATCTTAAGTTTAAGCAACAGTAATATTTTAATGCATAAGTAAACCCAATATACAACTAATAATCCATTCCATCATAAACCGTTTCTCCTAAGTTCTTGCGGAATCTCATACTTCCCAAAATTCTTGTAAAAACTATTTCTGGTACAATGAACAATAACCCACCACTGTATTCGTATCTCAGGTATGAAGTAAGTTCTCGCATGGATATCGTCGAAAATATCATGACCCACATACAACCACACAAATTTTTTTTTCACAATATCCCGTAAACGATAATGGTTTAGTCCTCGCAAGGCACTAACCCCATTACGAGTGGTAGAAAAAGTTCGTACCCGCACGGAGTAAGAAGGCGTCTACCCACTCCACGATACCCGGTCAATAGTAGCCCATGTTTATCCAACAACCATACAAGATATACAATACCAACAATTTCCTCAAACAACCAACAATTCTATAAATCCTCAATTTCACATGTAGTATTTCAATAGAATAATTGAAGAAAATTCAATAGATCATCATCAATATCATTTTGATACACAACACAAAGCACTAAAGTTTTTGAAACTACATTTAAGTGAATGTANATTCTCAATTTCACATGTAGTATTTCAATAGAATAATTGAAGAAAATTCAACAAATCATCATCAATATCATTTTGTTACACAACACAAAGCACTAAAGTTTTTGAAACTACATTTAAGTGAATGTAGAGGGAGAAACCTATATTTCCCCAAAAACTAGGGTTTTAAAGAAAGAACAAGAGATTTCATGGGTATTCAACCCTAACTTTGTGTAAAACATGATAATAATTGCAAGAAGACCAAGAAAGGATAATTTCATAGTATATATATATGATTTAGAGTCAAAGAATATATATATACAAGCCCTAGTCTCTATGAACAAGAATGGAAGAAAACCCCCTACCTTGTTTCCTTAGTTTTGAGCGAAGAAGATAAAGATTTGATCTTTCCAAAACTTGAATCACCCTTTATTCTTTTGCTTTTCCATTTCTTTCTTCCTCTCTAAGCTTTTCTAGGGTTAGAAGTGTTGCAATAGGGCTTAGGGAGGTGTCCTTAGGTATTTATAGTGGAAGAAATGGTGTCTTGTACACGATTTTTAGAGTTAGAATTTGTAACTGATGCTCAAATGTCATTGCCGTTCGAATGTCCTTAGCTCCTAATACTTTGGTTTTCCATAAGACAAAAAGTACTGGAACGCATTGTCGTTTGAACATCATTAATGTTCGAACGTCATTCACGTTCAAATGTAATTCACGTCCAAACGTCATTCCTGTTTTTACTGGAACTTCCAATGCAGTTTTGGCTTATTTAGAGGTCGATGTGAAAAATTTTCATGAAACACACTTTTGTATCTCTAGAAGTTTGATATCTACTATCAACATTTCAGATCAAATGGAAATCAGGATAAAGAGTTATGATCCAAATAGTAGGAAGTGTCCAAAATCATTTTTACCCAAATTCTCTCTAAAGTGTGTTTTCATTCTGAAGTACTTCCAAACTTCTACAACATACCCTATTACCTCAACTAACCTTTTTATTTCTACCCTTATAATCTACATAGTTCATGCATACATCATTACATATATTAGCATTTCAAAAACATAATTACGTTGTTATATCAAGATACGAATGTGGGGGTTTACAATCCACCATCCTTGAAGAAAGTTTCATCCTCGAAACTTACCTTAAGTAAAAAACAAGTGAGGTTACTTCTCTCGTATCTTCAACTCTGGTTCCCTAGTAGCTTCCTCCACCCCATGATGTTGCCACAAGACTTTTACCAGTTGAATGACTTTGTTGCGTAGTATCTTCTCCCTAGTGTCGAGAATCTTCACCAGTTGTTCTTTATATGTTGCTCCATCTTGAACTTCAATATCCTCCAAATCGACGACATACGTTGTATCTGATTGAATGACTTTGTTGCGTACTCCGGATAACTGAGCCGGTAACTAAAGTTGATACGCCGCTTTGCCCACTATTTTGATCACTTCAAATGGTCCGATGTACCTTGGAGCCAATTTTCCCTTCTTGCCAAATCTCAAAACTCCCTTCTTAGGCGACACTTTAAGGAAAACATAGTCCCCTTCTTGGAACTCCAATGGTCTTCGTCTTCTGTTCGCATAGCTTTTCTGTCTACTTTGTGCCTTGCGTAGTCTCTCCCGGATGAGTTGAATCTTCTCTGTAGTTTTCCGAATAATTTTCGGCCCAAAACAAGCTGCTCTTGCCTACTTCGAATCAACACGTCGGTGATCGACATGACCTTCCATACAATGCTTCATACGAAGCCACTCCAATACTTGCTTGATAGCTGTTGTTGTACGCAAATTCCACCAATTGTAAATGGTTACTCCAACTTCCCTTGAAGTCCAATACGCAAGCACGGAGCATATCCTCCAAAATATGTATCACTCTCTCAGATTGGTTATCCATTTGGGGATGAATAGCAGTGCTAAAATGTAATTCTGTCCCCATAGCTCGTTGTAGACTTTGCCAAAATTACTCCACAAAACGAGAATCACAATCTGATACGATAGATAGTGGAACTCCATGCAATCTCATGATCTCACAGATATACAACTTGCTCAAGGTCTCTAGAGTGTCTGTGGTCTTTATACTCAAGAAATGTACGGACTTGGTAAGTTTATCCACAATGACCCATATGGCATTATGACCGTGAGAAGTCTGTGGAAAACTTGACACGAAGTCTATGGTGATTTGATCCCATTTCCACTCTAGAATAGACAAGGACTGTAGTAATCCTCCTGCCTTTTGATGTTTGATCTTCACCTGCTTGGCACACTGCACATCGTGCTATGAACCTTATCACATCCTTCTTCATTCCCTTCCACCAATATTGGCGCTTCATGTCCTTATACATTTTTGTGCTACCGGGATGGATAACAAACTTAGAGTGATGACACTCTCCAAATATCTCCTCCTTTAGGGATGAATCATCGGGGACGCATAGCTTCTCCCCATATCTTAGTTCTCCATTTCTCAAAGACTAATCCTCCATTGTTTCTCCATTCTCCAATTTAGCTCGAATCGACGCTAAGTCAGGATCTAAGCATTGTAATTCCACAACCCTACGTTGAAGGGTAGGTTGGGCCACAAGGTTGAATAGGTATGGTCGAGATCCATCTTCTCCAACCCATAGATCATAGTCTCCAAGGGCATCCCTCATCTTCCATTTACTTGCAAGAACATTGAGTTCACCCCAAGATTTTTGGCTAAGTGAATCAGCGACTACATTGGCCTTCCCCAGATGGTTGTTGAGTGTAAAATCATAATCTTCTAGATACTCAACCCACCTTTTTTGCCGAAGATTCAAGTCTTTCTGCGTGAACACATACTTGAGGCTCTTACGATCAGAGAACACTTGAAACTTTTCACCATATAAGTAACATCTCCACAACTTAAGAGCAAAAACCACAGCAACAAGCTCTAAGTCATGGGTGGAATAATTCTGCTCATGAACTTTGAGGTGTCTAGAGCTATAGGCAACCACCTTCCCTGCTTGCATTAGCACAAATTCCAAGCCTCGTAGCGAAGCATCAGTATACACATCATATCCTTTCCCACTACTCAGAATAATGAGGACAAGTGCCACTGTCAACCTCTCCTTCAAGGTGCTAAAGGCTAGTTCACACGCTTGAGTCCACACAAAATTTTCTCCCTTCCTTGTGAGGCGAGTCATCAGCATCGCAAGCTTTGAAAATCCTTCCACAAACCTATGATAATAGCTGGCTAACCCCAAGAAACTACATACTTCTGTCATATTCTTAGGTGGTTCCCATTTCATCACGATTTCAATCTTTGTAGGATCAACAGCTACCCTTTGTTCCAACACAACATGGCCAAGGAACTTCACTTCCTTCATCCAAAACTCACATTTACTCATATTCGCATATAACTTATGTTCTCTCAGTGTCTGTAGCACAATAGAGAGATGACATCCATGTTCCTCGTGACTCCGAGAATAGATTAGTATGTCATCAATAAAAATAATGACAAACTGATCGAGGTATGACCAGAATACCCTGTGCATCAAATTTATGAAGGCTGTTGGTGCATTAGTCAGTCCAAACGACATCACCGTATATTCGAAATGACCATAACGGGTACGAAAAGCTGTCTTGGGAATATCCTCTTCCTTGATCCGCAGTTGATGGTACCCAGTGCGAAGATTAATCTTGAATTAATACTTGGAACCCCTCAACTGGTCGAACAAATTATCAATCCTTGGCAATGAATATTTGTTCTTCATTGTTACTCGATTTAACCTTCGGTAATCTGTACACAACTAAAGTGTCTCGTCATGCTTCTTCACAAAGAAGACTGGGGCTCCCCAAGGTG